CCCCCCCCCCCCCCCCCCCCACACACACACACCGTCTCCTCATCTTCCATCTCAGCTCTCAAATCTTCACTCTTGTACCCGACTCATCTATCAGACTAACACAAGAACTCCCCCTCATTAACTTCCTGTAACTACTCCTTTCCTCCTAATACACACACACACACATTGGTAAGTGTTTAGGCCTGCCTACTGCATATGGTTGTTAAGGAAATTTATAGGATATGAAGTCCTAGGTAGGTAACTACTGTAGCATGCACTCATTCCTTCTTACCACTTTTCTATTTACATTGGTTCTTATTTGACCTCTAGGTCAACCCGTAGTAATTCCTTATCGACTCGTTTTAACTCCTCCTTGACTCTCTCTATACGAGCTTCCAAACAATTCTCTCTCCGCATCCTCCAAATTAGTCTTCTTGGTCTGATCGTCAATCTTCAATGCTGCCTCCTTGGAAAGTGAACTGTGCTCCTCTAACACTTCTGTGACTAACAACCTATCAGAGTTTGGAGCCACTACCTGCACAAAGTACACCATCGCCGCTAGTGACCAGTGGTGAAATGAAATACGATAACAAATTTGCAACCCCAATGACAAGAAATAACACTAAAGATAATGCTGCAGAATCAAAGAAAACTTACGAAGGTCCTTTCGAGATTACTCTCTCTTCCCCATTACCATCAACCCTGACAACTTCTTAAGTAATTACAAATATGCCACTGTTAAGTGTCAATATCCCTGATTTTATTTCCACTATTTCCCTACAGGTACCCTAACATATGGAGGGAGAAACCACCATCCCTGTCATTTAAAATTATCTCTGGAAACTTCACTATTTACATTGATATCATTTAATTCACCACCAGCTTCCTCTCCTAATCCGTTCTTCCACTCCAAGATCTCTTCTGACTTTTCACCTTCCTGGATCCCATTCTATTTATTTTCAAAGATATTACTGATTCATCTAGCATTTTCACTCCCAAAGCGCTAAACATCATTAAATTTTTATACTGAATTTGGCTTGTCACTACTCGTGGATCATGTATCTACTTTTTGGTTTGATTAGTACCATATGGAACATATGTGACATTTTGGTTTCTAACATGTTATAACCCTTGTAGGTCTCTTCCTTCCAGCCGTTGTAAGGCCAATTCTGGATTCCTTTGAAGCATCTAAGCAAGTTCCTCAGCCTGTATTAAGTGATGTAAGTTCAAAATCTTCACATTGTCTGCATGCAACAAGTTTATATTTTTGTAGTTGGATAACTTTCAGCTTTTTGGTAAGTGAGATTCCTTGATCAACACAATTTCCTTCTAAAAGAAGTTCATTTCTTTTTGCCTTTTAGTGCCTCAACATTGGTGCTACTAATTATTCATTTACTTCAACATTTATTGTAAATTTATATATTGTCGACTTTGCAGGTGGTTGCAAGTATGACTGGAAAGAAATAGGGATGATCGATCTCAGCAACACAAGAAGGATTGTTCTTAATGGATCATTTTTTTTTTAATCAATTTTCCTTCTCTTCTGCCGTAAAATAAGCCCTCTACAATCTAATCGGATATCAAGTTTGATAGCGTAGCCATTTTTAGACATTACCTTGTTGTTTTATGCCCATACATAAGGCTGATTTTCAAGATATTTCAGTTCTAAGTTTGAAGCCTGAGTAAAACTTGCATAAATTGAGCCCTACAAACTCCTTTGATTGGTTTCCTACCATTTGTCTCCAAATATTTATACCGTTACAGGACTTCATGATGAGACGATTATGAACCGATACACGAAAGTGATGACTAATTCATGGCTGTGTTGGTCTTTCTTGAAGTTACCAGGTTTACCATTTTTCTTTAATGATAATTGGATTCAAGTTCCATTTGATAACTATTTAGTTTTTTATTTTTCGATTTTTAGATATTGTGCTTATTTTTATCCCTTTGATGTGCCTTTGGAGTGCTCATTAAAGGAAAAATGTTCTGGATTATTATTATTATTTATTTGACTAATTGTATTTGGATTAGAAGAAAAGTGACGTATAAATCATAGCATAATTCAATTAATATAAGATATTTATTTTATCTGCTTTAGAGAAGAAATAAAAAAGCACAAATGTCCAAAATTCATGAAAGAAAAGCTGTGAGCCATAAATATGTTGACTTGTCCCATCTTTTTATTAGAAAAAAGAAGATATGAGAAGATATTCATCCAAATCTTTGTCCATATCGCATAATTTGTTATCCATTTCTTTTGGAACTTTATGATAATTTAATAGAACAATTCTTGTGTTTTTGTGGGGTAAAACATGATATCAAACTTTACATTCAAAAAAAAAAAAAAAACTTGGGTCGATGTTTAAGTTTTCTGATCTATCTCAGAGGATATGTGCCTCGGACTTGGTTATCCTTTAACATAATTCGGTCATCTTCTAACTCGATGTATCTCGATTGCAAATTTAAAGTGTTATAAGTGAAAGCTTTTTTTTTTTTTTTTCTTTGGGTTAATAATAATTAAAAAAAAAAAAAAAGTCAACAAATTTCTCTCCTTTTTGACTTTACTCATTCCAATTCCCAATTTAACCCTACCATCTTTGGACTAATATTGGTACCAACTCCACCAGCTACTGCATATAATTACTCATCATTTTCTCCACTTAACAGCTGCCTTTTACGTCATTTCACTCCCTTTTTTTAGTTATTAGTTTTTTTGCAACTCATCCCATGATGTTTTTTTTTTCTCCTTTTATAAGATATATCTACTTTTATAAGAATACCCATTAAATCTCTCTGTAACCACCCATATCCAAGATATTTCCAAGATTCGAAATCCCGAACACCTGATAGCTAGCTTCGATATTCTCCTATAACATGATTACGTTACTTATCTCTTACTTCAAAGAAAGAAAACCATCCTACGAACCAACATAAATTTTTACATTATATTTCAACGTCGTGTGTTTAATCGTGATAAAAGTTCATCATTGGCTAAGTTTTAGTCGTGTTAGGCCGATCATTGCCTCAAGTTGATCAGTGATAAGTGTTAATAATTGAATGAAAAACATAATTAATATTCTACGTATGATAAAAAATTATAATTTATTAGTATTAAACATAAAAATTATATATTAATAATCGTATCCGTTACTGTCTTATTTTAATTTCTAAAAAAAGATTAAATTTTGACCTACAATAAAAGTTCAAAAGTATTGAATACAAAATTGACGTTACGATAAAAACGTAACAAGTTTTGTATAATATGTGACAAATTGGAGGAGCTGTAATATGTACAATAATGATGATAATAATAGCGATGGATGAGCCTAGAGATGCTCTTCATTGACCCTCCCACTGAAAAAGCCAAGAAATTCCTCAAGGCTATGGAGTGTAAAGGAGAGGAAACAAAGCCAAATTCTTCACTTACAAGGCTACCTCTCTTTTCAATCCCACACCGAGCAATGGACTCGCCCGAACGCTCGGGGACGTTAACTCCGCCAATCTACGCCGCCGTCTCGGTCCCGTTTCGGTGGGAAGAAGAGCCTGGCAAGCCTAGGTTTAGTAACGTTGCTACCACCACCAACACCGACACCGACACCGTCACGTCTCCGTGCCTAGAGCTACCTCCAAGGCTTTTGTTAATGGAGAAAGTGGGAAGATCTGAGGGCTCTTCCTTTAGAATGATGGGGTCTGATGAGATGAGTTCTTTGTTCATGAAGAGAAGAGGTTGGTTTGGTTCATGGAGAAGAAGCAAAAGAGATGAAGTGTTTCCTTCCTTGGAATGGGAAGTGGAAGCTTCAAGGCTTAGAAGAAATGGGAGCTTTTCAAGCCTTATAAGAACTCAAATAAGGCCTCATTTTTGGGTAACTCTTTGTTTCTTTGATCTCTTTAATGGGTTTTGTTTGCTTTTAATCATAGCTTTTGGTGTTATAGGTAAGTGTTTGTGAAGGTTTGAAGCATGTGGTTCCATCATGGAGAGGCAAAAGGCTAAAGAAAGACGTTTAGCTCGATTTTCAAATGGTTTCAGTGGAAGAACCGAAGCAAACTTGTAAATATATCTCGTTGATTTCACTGTGTTTTTCATTTTCTCGAGATGGGTCGGGAAGATTGAATCTTACGTTGTTTCAGAGGTACCAAATGTGTTTTCAAACTAGTGTATCTTGTATCATTAACGGGTAAAAGTATATCGGTTAAGAATAAGGTAGTGTCTTGGTTACTATAGTTGATATTGTCTTCTTTTGAGCCATTCACGTGGTGCACGTGAGTCGAGATTGCATAACAGTGTTTGGATCGTAATGGGATTTAGTTTCTCGTAAGGTTATAATAGGAAACGTATTCACGTGATAAACCTACTTTTCGATAACTAATTACCTAAATATCAAGAGCCTTCCTTATAGGGTGGAGTGGGCTTGAGGATCATAAATGGACCTAGTGGGCTTTTGGGCCAAGGACTAGCAAGCCCATGGGGTTTCGTTAGAGGCTTCATGGGCCGGGTGAGTTTTTTCAGCTCAATCCAATTGTTCGAGTCGAGACGTTTTTTAAACCTAATTCAATCGTTCGAGTTATACATTTTTATTTAAATATAATAATTTAAATGAAATGGAAAGTAGGTCTAATTTGGCATAGTGCTTATGACATCACTTAAAACTCCATAGCCTCTACTAAATTTAAAATGAAATTAAAAAAAAATAAAAATAAAAAGGGTATTTTTGGTAGTGGATTCCCAAACTAAAATCCCTAAAAAAGCATGGAATAAAGCGTAACAAAAGTGGACACAATCATCAATTATGATGACACATAGCCTTTTATTGATTACTTTTTACAAGTATATATATATATATATTATCTATGCTAGAAGACACTCGAAACTGGAAGGATAAAAAACCCACTCGATGGACTGCGGAGCTATAAGTCCTACGACACAGGGGCGGGATTCTCTAAAAAGCCAAGGTTGCGGGTGGCCAAGAGGGCCCACTTGGCAGCCTTAGCTAGAGCCACTGTTATAACATTGGGGCCAAATGTGTCTTGCCTTGAACGAAGATGAATAGAGACTCCTTGGAACGTTAAGTTTGGATCTTGGCATTTCCTATCTGCCAACAACCTGCGCGGTTGGAAACCAATTGTTGTGTGCCTCCAGGCATCCTGGGCTGACAGCACTTCGAATGGTCTCGAAATTGGCTGATGGAAGAAGCGAAATTATATATATATATAGAGGAGTATGTTGTTAGGTATTTGACCAAATAGGATTGTTCAGTCTCTATAGACATTATTACTAAAATACCCCTAGAGCGAGATAGAGCTAAATAGATCGAAAATGAATACTATTAACCCTACACAAGATTTGTGAATAAGTGACTGTCTGATAATGAGCAAGAAATGTCTGTATTTTTGCTAAACGATGTATTGAACTTATAACCCAATAGATACATTTTATAAATGTCAATAGAGTATTGTAAAGGGCAACAACCCAAACTCACCACCAACATATATTGTCCGCTTTGACCCATTATGTATCGTCGTCAGCCTCACAGTTTTAAAATGCGTCTATCAGAGAGAGGTTTACACACCCTTATAAGGAATGTTTCATTCTCCTCTCCAACCGATGTGAGATCTCACAATCCACCCTCCTTGGGGCCTAGCATTCTCGCTGGAGCACTGCCCTGTGCCGGACTCAAATACCATTTGTAACAACCCAAACTCACCGGTAGGTCTGCGTTAGTCCATTACGTACGGGCATCAGCCTCACAATTTTAAAACGCATCTACTAGGGAGATGGTTCCACGCCCTTATAAGAAATGCTTCATTCCCCACTCCAACTGATGTCGGATCTAAGAAAATTACGGAAATATACTCCGAAGAAGAGAGAGATTCATATGTACAAACACTATACTACTAAGGGGTACATGAAATCTAGGGTTTAAAAGGGTTGAAGTTTGTTACAATGATCCACCCCCAAGCATCCCACTCCAAAACCCACTTGAAATATTGTTGCCTTGTTGCCTCTCCTTTTGATGATCATCACACTCATTGGGTTCACCACAAGAACTTTGGTTAAGTTGTTGAAAACCAACCAAATTTGGTCCATTTCCAAACCCATCAACACAATTGATACCCAAACTTGGCTTGAACTCACCAATAGGCAAGGAATGATACCCCAAATCAGCATCAATATTGTTGGAATTTGGCATGAGATTTGGGATAAATGAACTCAAACCCCTATAACCATTGTTCATATTTTCAACAACTTTAGGGACCTCAACAAAATGAGTCATGGCACAAGGGAAAGCAACGTTGAGATCTTGAGATGAAGGGTAATTTGGTAATCTTGCGTTGTTGTTGTTGTTGTTTTTGAAATGGTCGGACGAAGACGAGGAAGAAGAACAAGACACTGTTGTTGTTGTTGCTGATTTTCGGCTCTTTCTCGAGCCTCCTCCCACCGGCACGTTTCGGAGAGACCCGCCTTCAGTCCAATACCTTCGACAAGACTTGCAAAAGTATCTTGGTTGCGTGAGGCTATAGTTGTTGTAGTAACAGAATTTGGTGTTGTTTGACTTGCATCTCGGGCAACTCCGTAGCTCTTTTGGAGCTTCCCTTGATGACGATAACGACGACGATCTTGAGCTTGGATTAGGGTTTATCTTTTGATTCATGGCTTACACTAACCCTGCATCCAAACACACCAACAACAAAACAAAATCGTAGAGTTGAAGAACAAAGAAGAAGAGCTATTCATTCATATTCTTACCTATACCCAATGATGAGCGACGTCCATGAACTTATACAAAGAAGCTCAAGAGATGGTTTCCGATGTGGGATTGATCTTTGCTTTAAAAAGAGTGTTTTTCATGGGGAATTTTTTTGGTGGGTTTCTCACTTTTGACTTCATAATTGGTTGGGTGAAGTCATTGATTGTTTGGTCACCTTCTCTTGCTTTTGCATGATGACCATTCAACTCCTTTAGAAGCCCCTTGGCCTTTTCTATGGGTCATAGATACTCAAAAGAGAGAGAGATGGGCTTCATTTTGGAGAACACCTCATCTATTTTTGTTGTTTAATGAGTGATGATAGGTTGTAAAGGCATAAACATGGCCCATGAGAGTAGAAAATGAAGTTGAAGAGAGGAAATTTTAATGGGTTAAGCTTGGTTTTGGGTTTTGTGGAGTGTAATTCTCGAAATGATCGAGTTTGAGACTTGTTTAAAGACTATTTTGAAGCTCGGATTGAAAACCCAGATGGGAGAGTCGGGTGTTTTTCTAGAGTAATGTTGTAGCATGATGGATGAAGTCTGGTTATACGTCAGAATTCAACTAAACCTTCTCTAAAGCGTCACGATAGTTGAATGCATTTTGAGGAGAAATAGCTAGCTTTGGGCTCTCCTCTCACCTCTTTGTTCTTGAGCATGACACCTCGTGTCCAAACCTGCCTAGGTGCATGACCCACGACATTGGATCGCTACTCTAGAGCATCATATGGTGCTCGTTTTGGTGTTGTGAGGCCAACATGTTTTTTCCTAGTTGCTTATATTAGGTCACGACATCGAGGAAGAAACTAGATATGGACTCGAGTAATTAGACCCACAACGTTAGTGTCAATCTTCTAATGGCAAGTGCTTAGTCCACCCACTCATTACTCATAGCTTACTCATACCTACCCATTCATCATTTTTTTTCTTCAATAATTTCTTTTTTTCTCAAATTTATTTTTGATTTCTCAAGTGGGTGAGAATACAATTATAACATTTTCCTTTAATTATGAACATTTTTTCTTAAATTACCAATTTAGCCCTCAAATTTTAATGGTTATATTTGTTCGGTCTTTTAATTTTACAAAATTTCGGTTATACCTCTAGTTAACTTTGATATGCAAGACTCGTGTTCAATGAATTGATGTCATCTAGTATTTCATAGGTCTCACTGAAAATAAATGTTTGTCAATACGAGGTTATTAGTAAAGGTCGCACGAGATGTTTTAGCAATTCTAATGTCTACAATTGCTTGTAAGGTCTTTACGTTATAGAACTAACGGTTAGCACCATGTTTAAAAAATAATTATTAATTATCAAAAGTAATATTAATATTCGTAATTTAAAAAAAGAAATTTATGGTTAACACGAAGTTATGTCAATTAATTTCAATAATAAAATTTTGATATTAAAAAAATTGCTTGGTATTTTTGAAACGTTGATAATTTTTATTTTAAATTTTTTTAAAAAAATTTATTTAAAAATTTGAAAGTTTAAGGTATTCTTTTAAAAAAAATATTAACTATTTCTAATAATTTTAATAGCAAATAGTTATTTGTTTAATTTATTTTAGTTGTGAAGTAAAAAAAATCAAATAGTTAAGCCCTTTGTGTAGCTGTGTGTCATCCATCGCCCTGTGTTGATTTTCTTCTCTATGGTATCATCAATGATCATAAATTTATTCTCTTTGAATTCATGTATTCATAGCTCACTCACATGAAAGATTTCTCCGCCAAATATGCAGTCAGGTGATATCCCGGTGTACCCTTCCATGCCGGCCAAGGCTCCCTTGCCTCTACCCGGGACCGTGTTGGTTTCCAAGTCCGGACATGCCGTCACCGGCAAACGCCGCCGTGAGGACGATCCGATCGTCTCCTATTCGGAGGCCGTAGATGTGTCGGCACCCAAGAGACAGGCGAAGGCCCATGACGTGCTTTTTAGAATCGTTGTGCCCTCGAAGCAGATCGGGAAGGTTATTGGCAAAGTCGGTTGCCGAATTCAGAAGGTTCGTGAGGAGACCAAAGCTACAATCAAAATTGCGGATGCAGTCGCGGTATGGTTTTGTGTTTGATTTTGAGTGCTTCGGTTTAGGGTTTTCGTTTTGTATTTTGTAGTTTTTTGTTGCTTTTTTTCCTTCGTTCGGCTATCGGGGAAGTGTTGAAGTCAAGCTTTATGTGTGTTTCACTATGTTGAATTTTAGTGGTTTTTTTTTTTCTTCTCTTAACTCTTTTGCTGGTTGTGTTGTATGCCAAATGGTCGTCGAATGGATGAAAATTTGGGGTTCTCTGTTGTTTCAGCGGTACGAAGAACGTGTTATCATTATAAGTTCAAAGGACAAAGAGAATACGGTTACTGATGCGGAGATAGCACTCCAGCAAATTGCAGCACTGATATTAAAGGTAATTCATGGCTAATTGCTTAACTTTGCTGTAGAGATGATATATTTATTGTCCTATGTAGCTGCCCGAAGTTGGGGTCTAGGCCTTTTGCATGTGTTGATCTTATTTGCTAATCATAAAGATGGTGCATTTTGGATTATGATATGTTTCCTTTGTTCCCTGTCAATAAAGATTTTTTTCGATTATGATTCATAATCTACTTAATCACCCAAACTTAAAAAGTTGGATGTCATGACTGAACCCCTTGGATATAAGGTAGAGAATGTGAGTTTAAAAAACTTGGATCGACTTCCCTAAATACCGAAAAGTTGGTTGAAATATATGATTACAAATATACCGCTAGTGTACTGTTTCATAAATGCTGAAAAGTTGGTTGAAGTATACGATTACAAATTCTGGTAGTATGATTGAAAGGTTAATGTTCTAGTTAATTGCACCTTGAATATGTAGGGGATCTTAATTGATTACATGGACTTAAATGATCACTCATTTTACATTTTTGTGCAGTATTGTGTAGCCTTCTTAATGGGTTTAAGTTTTTAAGTGATCCTTACCATCATTAATAGGTGAAGTTTTTTTTTTTTTTTTTTTTTTTTTTTTTTTTTTTTTTTTTTTTTTT